AAGTTCGCGCGCTGATGAAATGGAGCGTGGTGCTTCGCAACATAAAGAGGCTGGACTCGTGGAACGCAGCCAGATATCTCGCCCCTTCATATCGGTTTCCTTTGTAACGGTATTTTATTTTAATGCGAGTCTCGCCAGTAATTTTGCTGTACTCGGAACGCGCTACGGAGCATTCGCAAGAATGGAACCCAGTTGAATGTTACAGTTACGGACTTCCTCTTATCCTTATGAGAATCCTTGGGCATTCCATGGTTTTCCTCTGTTTCTTCAGGCACATTCCAGTATAACAATGATATTAGGCCACGACAAATTCCTTCCAAATCCTGTCCGATTCATCACTGACTATCCTATCATTCGTTCGTTCGAATTGGTGTTGGCACTCGCCAGCACAGTCATTCTTGGTGTCGAGATCCATGACCAAGATTTTATACTCTGCCAAACATGTACGTGTTTAGAACTTGGGCTGTCTGTTCGGTGAGGAGAGTGGTCGGTCTCTATATGATATCTATCTGCTAATTTTTTTGCTGTGCCTCGCCAGCACAGTTATTCTTGGTTCCGATCCCCACGGGACTCACGACCATATTTCGGATTTGACGCTTCGCCAACGTGGAGGACCAGGTCCCTGTATTTATATCCCCCCGTACAGTTTCAAGTACTGGCAGTACCGTTAAATAAACAACACAAAGCCTTGCACGACTCATTCAGAACCGAGAGTAAAGTTAATTTCTGAATGTCATATGCTACTGGCCTTGGTGTTCATTTATTGCTGTACAGATCCGCTGTTGCAAAACCAAACCACGTTACTGATATCACACTTCGTTGTTTAGTCTTTCTGTAGTTACATATTCTTGATGCTGAAAGACGAGCTCTGTCTTCTGGGATATAACGCCGTGTAGTTCGTTGAAAGTCATCCACGTTTCGGAGTAATATACCGTCTCCATGTTCAGGGTCGATGAATAAAACAAGGAAAAAACTAGCGACTTGTTCTTCCGGAACTCCCCTTGACTTTCAACGGATTGCACTGCGTTATACCCCAGAAGACATGGCTCTTCATAATCACCGCTGTGAAAACCTCGAATTCTACAAATTTCATAGTTCAGCTTGTGCTTCATGTAAACTGATGGTTTTGATCGAGGGCTGTAGCAGCTTACTTAACTCCATCCCGTGTGGTATAATCTGGGCCGCTTTATCTGATGGGTAAAGTGGGGAGGGGCCTAAGACTCAAGCCGAGCGAGCGTCTGTACCTTGTGCTTAAACTTTGTAAAACTTTTTCTGAATTTTCGAGTGTATTTGCGGACTATTTTAACATGTTATAGTAAATTTTGAATAATTGTTATATTTCTGTTTGTTTTATATTTTGATATTGACGCGATTTATGTGTGCGACTATAGACGGGGTATAGATTTGTGAATGGATTTACTGACCACTTGTACACACGACTCAGAACTACAAGCAATTACAGTGCCACCGCTGATCTCCACAGTTTACAACTCACTGCTGCAATCGCTAAGTCTTCTCCACCCCTCAGTGTCTTCATCAGCCGTTTCCTGACAACGGCTTCTGACAGTGCAGATTCTTCAGCTTCCCACGCTTAGGTCCTATCTTCACAGCTTCCCATGCAGACCTCAGCTCCAAACTGACAACTGTCTGGGTCGCTCCAATCGTTTTCCTTGTAACCAGTTTGGACGGACCGAGTAGAAAACACAGTTTCCCATAGTTTCTGTCATTATGCTCGTATTGGTTGCCGCGGAAACGTGATTACCGATCCGTTGCCTAGAAAAGGATTGCATAACACCGTTGTTTATCTGCCTGTTGCATAGCAACGGTTGTACATGTTACGGTATCTTCTTATGCGTTCCGGTTTTGTTAATGTAAATAAATACTTAACCAATCTTTTCATTTTTAAAGGAGAATTTCGGTCATACACGTAAGATTATTATTTTTCCTTCCAGTCGCACTATGGTCCTGTGGTCGACTCTGTCTGTAACAGAAATTAGTACCAGGAATCTTCCTGGGGGGTAAAGGGCGGCCGGCGCGTAAGGCTGACAACTTCACCACCATCTGTGAGCCGATTGTCTAGAAAATATGGGAGCCTCGACGTCTCACAACCCTATGGGACTCCACGGCCTCTTACAGGGATAGCTTTACTTACATTTAGACTGACTTAAATTCTTTGTTTTATTAAATTAGGGCAAATTTAATTCAATTTTTATTTATATGAAACAACGTTGACCAGAAGCTCGTACTCTGCCCAGAACCCACTATCACCCTAATGCTTTTTGCTTGGTTATCTGGCGATGCAGTTAGTATTCAGATCCTATAGCGTCAGGTGGTAGAACTACGGAAACCCTCAGCCGTTTCCCTGGCCAAGATTCGAACTGAGGGCCACTCGGCAGTGATCTCCGGTAGCAAAATTAATTTAAATCCGTGTATATCGAGGATGATGCGATGGACAGGGCATGTAGCACGAATGGTAGAGAAGCTGAATTCATGTAAGATATTGGTCGGGAAATCAGAAGGAATGTCCACTGGAAAGACCAAGACGTAGGTGGATGGACAATATTAAAATGGATCCCAGAGAGATAGGATGGGATGGTATGGATTGGATTGACCTGGCTGAGGATAGGGACCAGTGGAGGGCTCTTGTGAACACGGTAATGAAGCATTAGGTTCCATAAAACGCTGTGAATTTCTTGAGTAGCTGCACAACTGGCGGCTTCTCAAGAAGGGCTCAGCTCCATGAGTGAGTGAGTAACATACAAGCGTGCTTATAATTTGTTATAATTGTCGGTTTCTGATACGCCCCTCGTGAAGACGTGAAGACGTGTAGTTCTCGCTTTTAGCTTGGGTTGGAGAGGCTTGACGAGAGTAATTGCAGTTATGAAGCGTGTGCCTTGAGAGGCGGTGGCTACGCGTGATGAGCCGGTGCTGTGCGTCTATCTCGTGACGGTGTTACCAGACCTCTGCTCCCGCTACCGAGAGTTTCGAGAGCTAATTTACGTCTTGATTACGCCCTCTCACGTTTTGGTGTAGATTTTGTAGTGTGTTTCGGATGTCAGGCAGTTCCTACACTTTGAAGGGGGTTAATTCTTCAGTCGAAGTTTACCTACGCCTCTCACCTCCCTCTTCGTCTCTACAATCGTCTTCTGTCTGCAGAAGCCTTACGTGATCTTCCTTTCCTCCTGAATACGTGCGCAGTTGACTGACGTGAACTGTTGTGCTCTATAAATAACTTGATGTATGTCAGCCCGTACATTGCAGTTTCAGTTAAATATTGCTAGCGTAGGTACGTTTCTGGGGGCCCGGACGTAGCTGGAGGATTTGTTGTCCTCATCCAATCAATGTTAACTCCATACACAACGAAGCTTGTTCCTTTTTTACCAGATAGTGCTGCTATCTACAGAGTTGAAAGGGAAACTAGGAACAATAAATTCCTTCTGTTTGGTTGTCTTCTGTAGCTGCAACTGAGCCTGTGTTCACTGTTAGTAGCCGGAGAGCAGTATCCGACTTCGGCTGTTAACCGGCTCTTAGTATCCGACCTCCGCGCCATAGCTCAAGCGGTTAGTCGCTGGATTCCCACCGCGGCGGCCCGGGTTCGATCCCGGGTCTGGTTAAGTGGGATTTGTGGTGGACAAAGTGGCGCTGGCGCAGGTTTTCTCCGAGTACTTCTGTTTCCCCTGCCAATCTTCATTCCACCAATTGCTCCACAATCACCCTCACCTATCATCTGGGGCTGGTACAATAGGCCAGAAGTGGCCACAGTACAAGGGACTTAGTCTCACCTCAGTAGCATTAAAAATAATAGTATCCGACCTCAATTGTTACCCAGCTCTTAGTATCCGACCTCGACTATCAATCGGCTCTTAGTACCCGACCTCGACTGTTAACCGGCCCTTTGTATCCAATCGAGACTGTTAACCAGTTCTTAGTGTCCGGCCGCGACTGTCAACCGGCTCTTAGTATCCGACCTTGACTGTTAACCGGCTCTTAGAATCAGGCTTCTACTGTTAACCGGCTCTTATGCTTCCGATCTCGACTGTTGCACTACATTTTCAGTGGATGTTACACGTCCGTAGAGTGCGCTGTGTAGCGACAGCACACGTATGCTATTTGTATGCAGTTCGCGAAATGCTTGAGCTCATTTTCATACACCGTAAATGGTCTTTATGAGAGTAGGTTCGTTACAGTAACCCGGGGAGGGCTCAGGTGGAAACAGAACTTCTCACAAATAAAACCCAATCCGATTATAGCCCCAAACAGAAACAGTCAGTAAAATGCAGCGGTCCGTGCTTCGGAGCTGGTGGGAATTTTGGACAACTGTCTCGAATGCAGAGGAATGAAAGCAATTGTTTGTGGTAACCTCAGAAGCTTTTCATTGTGTGGCGTCTCATTCAAACAGTTCCTCAGACACAACTTCAGAATAAGTCCTTCGCATCATCTGTTCTTGCTATAACAGCAGACTGTCTGAAAGTAAAGTGAATTTCCCGTTGCCTTCCATTTCATGTAAAGAATATTAATATTTTGAAGTGAATCTATTCAGGGCGAGTGACTTAAAGTCCTGTGGTTACTATACGTACCACCCGCTTTAACACACCAAAACTCTGCATTCTGCCCACAGAGTGTATCTGTGTGTTCCATATGGTTCTCACAGTAAACGGCGGTTTTTTTTCCCCAAGGAAGGAATTAGTGTCTTTAAAATCCCGTGTGGAGGCGGGCTCTAACACCTCCCCCGTAGCCCTGAGAGTCCAGAGGGCGATGAAAAGGGAACGCGCTGCCGGCCACCCTGTCACAAGAGCGATATAAATATGGGGACGACTCGAATCTGAGACAGTAAAAATGTGATCATGAGTCCCGTGGGACTCGGACCGGAGAATGATTGTGCTGACGAGGGCCGATAAATATGTGTTAATCAGAGCTTTCAATCTAGTTTCAAATTTGTATCTGTTGGATCAATACCATTGCCGTTACTGTGCTGAAGTGGGACCGTGTTTGTGTTTCAGAGCATGCCTCAGACTCCGCAGTCTGGGAAAAGTTTCAGCGCTCTGCTGAATGGCGGCGCCCCTGGGGAACACAGCTCCAGTGTGGAATCGGTCCTGGAGTCCGGACCTCGCCCGGATCATGTAAGTTCCCTCGATTCTTACACGAGATTGGACGTTCTCAAAGGTTTAATCAGCGCATGCTTACATAAACTGTTTCCGCTTGTGCCCTTTGGTTCGAGTTGATGTATCTTTATCTCGATGGGCCCTTTCTTTGTTTGTCTGAAACAGTTGAGGGACCGTGATAGCATAGTCTGTATAGCGACTTGCTATGGGCTGGACGACCGAAGAGTCGGAGTTCGAGTTCTGGCAGGGTGAAGAATTTTCTCCACGTCGTCCAGACTGGCTCAAGGGCGAAGCTAGTGTCGAGGTCAAGACAATGTGGATCTATACCTCCACTCCCCCATACGTCTTCATGGCGTAGTGCTTAGATAAGCACAGGGACAACTTTACCTTTTACCTGACGTGAAACAGTTGAACCATAGGCTTACATTGTGTGATCTCATGGGGCGAGAACCGTTGTACATATTTTGATCAAAATTTATGTTGGGGGGGGGGAGGTCCTTGCACAACTGGCGTGCGTACCGGAATGGTTAATGATTACATTTTCTAATTTTGTCACTGTCTGCAAGAGAATGCCGAAGTAATTTAGTGAAGTAGGACGCGTTTGCATCATTCCAAGAAGCTGTTGGCCCGGTTTCTTATCCTTGTGAGGAAGAGCATTGGTGTCCTACCCACGGCCACGCTGGAAGCTACTGCGCATGTCCAGTGAGTTGCGCGGCCAATATCTCGTGACTTTCCACCATTTTGACTGTCACGTCGTTTCTTCTGCTTCTCCGTGCTCATTGTTTAGTGCATTTCTCATTTTACGCGTTTTCCATATACGCGGGAGATTTTCAGGAACGTTAGCCGTTACGGACTCTGAACTCGTAACTGTCTGGTTGAGGATGCTGAAGATAATGGAAAAACAGAATAAGAAAATAGATCAGATCGGAAATGGGGGGAAAAATTAACGAATATGAAGAATGGAAGAAGATGCGATAGAAGGAGAATAAAGAACGTCAAAAGCATAGCATAGAAATTATGGAGGCAGTTGGAGTGAGGAGGAAATTGAGAGACATGAGAAGATAAAGGAGAGTAAGGAAGAAAAGGGAATAAAGTGGATGAGTATAAGAAAAGAAGGGAAACATTTGATGCTAACCGTTCCACAAAAAAACTAACGAGCCTTTGGTCTCGGCACGTTGTGTGGAACAGATCGCTGGTCATTGCGCTGTGGTTGCCTTGTATAATGTATGGGCATGGGAGGAGGGGGGCTGTTGTGGCCGCGCAGTGATGGCGGACGGTTGGTTCGTGGTTAGAGACTTCTCAGTTTTAAAAGCTCGTGAACTTGTAATGAATGTATCGGCCCTTTTGTGTTCTTTAACCTTGTGTGTCATGCCTCTTCCTCTGACTGTTCCCACGCAGTAAAGGCCGTCCCCTCTCTGTCGGACACTGTGTACAACCTGTGGCCCTCACGTCCCTTCGAGGCGCACACATGTGTTGGCAATAGATGCAGCTTGAGTACTGCCTGACCCTAACACAACCTCAGACCTCACTAAACCTTATGACCTTTGAGGTTCTCATTGCGGTATGAAGAATGCCCTCTTCTTAGATGACGCCGTATAGTCCTATATTGTTTGCCGACGTTTCGGAGGAACATGTAACTCCACATTCAGCATAGGAGATCTATATTTTGTGTGTGCGTATAGGGAGATTGTGAAGAATTCTGTCTTCAAGGTTATAACTCCATGTAGTTCGTTGAAAGTCAACTGACGTTTCGGTGGAATATGTTTCCTTCATCTACAGGGTCGAAAAATAAGACAGGCAAGAAAGCAGCGTGAAAGCAGTTGGGAAGCAGAGCTTGGCTTGGCTTATATTTCGACCCTGAATGTATATTACCCTTGTATTATTGGGGTAGTTAAGGAAATGTGGTTAACAGAAGACTCTATATAGGCCCGTAGATTTGATGGGTAACTAATGGTGCTTACGGAATTTTGATGCAGAAACCCTTTGGAAGGTATCCTACCCAGTGGAAGGGAAACATCCGCGGTTAGAAGCCGCTACTATGCAACGGATAGCGAAGATCGAGAAGACTTTATGTGTGCTGTAGTTACAGTAATCTTTGGAGTGTGTAACTCAGTGTGACTGTGTTATTGTCCAATAAATCCCGTTACCAATCCAAACCTCGTCTCTAGCCACATTGACCACGTGACAATATCATCTTCAGCTGAAACAGCATCGTTTCAATAACGCAAGAATTAATGTAACATATTCATTGTGTGTAGTATGTCCTTTATTGTTTGTGTAGATTTGTGTTCTGTATTTTGTTTGAGCGTGGTGTGTTATTTGTTATTGTGGTACCACCGGGTAAAACCAATTTGCAGTTTAAATAAATAATGATAATAATAATATGTGAGAATTGTGTTCAGTAGCGGTGCTGAACCTTCAGCCTTCTGTTACAAGACTTGATCACTTGCAGTTAGTTTGTTGTATACTGAAATATTCTTTCGTTTAGAGCGAATAAAACATGGGAATGACTTTTTCCATCGTTATCCTGTCTGAGCGAATGACATTTCTTTAACACTTTCCGTGTTATCAGCGATATATGTCGCTCATGTACAGCACGGGCTTCTGTTATAAACTTATTCGTTTTTTTAACAGTGCAGGAGAAAAGAACGTAACTCCTTCCTTTACCAGATAATCTCATCATGGAACGCTGAATGTGTATTTAAGGAAATTCGGCCTTGTCTCTTCTCATGAATAAATGACTGTTAATGAATATTTATATAACAGTTTTTTAACACTGCAGACTTCGTGACAGATTGCTTTATAATGTAACAACTGCATATAATTTGAACATAATTTAATGTCGCTTCCTCTTTCGGCTTGTGACCTATTCATTATCTCTACATAACTCATTATTTTGTAACCCGTTTTCAGCGCGTCAGCGTTACGCACGTCAGATTCATTGCGTGGAAGGTAAAAAGCAGCAAACACGGAGAAGAGTAAGCCCCACTCTGCTATTTATGTCTGCATGTTAAGGGGAAAGTTATGCAGCTTGGCTCTGGGTATTATAACCCAGCGAATTTATAGTCCGCCATCTTGCGCCTTGATATCCACAGCAAGTGTCGCATTCGCGAGGTTAACGAAGACAAGGGATTACGTGCGGTGAGGATATGCAATGCTTACTGTAAGTTCAAACCTGTATTAACGGACCTTCCCGGGTGGCTGCGCTTTTTAAGCCAAACACCCTTTTGGACGCTTATACGCCGGGGCTGTAATTCTAATCTTGCGTAAGGGATGGTTGTTGGCAAGACCGTTCTACCAGATGGCCAGTTTACCCACTGCGCACGCGTCACTACCATGGGCGTCATATTCCACTAACTCAACAGTGATTACGAAGAGACGGGGCCTTCTAGGTTGCATTGTCCTGTAGTGTGGACGCGGTAAGGCGTTTCGTAAGAATATGTCGCTTACATGTTCAGAGTTGAAGATTAAGTCAAGCAAGAAATGATCGGAAATATGTGGCAGGATGATTTCTTGAGTAGTGATGTTTCTCCGAAACGTCGGTCTGTCTCCCACCTACACGGCGTTACAACCCGTAAGCTAGTGCTTCCACTATTTAAGAATGTTGAGGTTCCAGCAGTGACGCCACATGTCATTAACATGTACACGGTCGAATAGTTCTTGGTTGCTAGGAGCACGGGCAGTAAACGGCATTACTAGTGTCAGCAGTGATTTTGGGGTTAGTGTGAAGAGCTTATTTTAAATTTCCTTTATGCCCTTGTTTTCGATCTTTATCGATATCTCCACAATTCAAATTCTTCTGTTAATTGCGATGGAAATATCCATTTGGCGAAACGTCGCATTGTTTTGCAGAATATTTGACGGTTGGCAGGCCCAGGAAGCCAGTAATCCTGAATTTGTATTCCTAGTTTGGTGAAACGAGACAAGAAACATAAAACCAATTAAGAAAAAAGAAGTTCTGGGAAGAACTGATCCCCTACTTTCTTTGATACGTCAAGAACTACATAGTAAAAAGACGCGTCCAACTATTCTTCTTTGCTGCGGGAACGTATTTACCGGGTTGTTACCTAGCAACGATAACGGAACACACAGACAGAACCACAGACACAAGCGTCCAACAACTCTTCTGATGTTGTACGTATTCGTTGCCGCAGGATCGTGTCTACTGAGCCATTGCCTAGAACCGAAAGGGCGGATACTCTTAACCGAGCCGTTGCCTAGCAACGATAGGACCGATGCACAGACCAATGAGGGGGATTCATGAAGTACGCCGTTAAGATGGGCTCAGTTGCCACGATATACATACCGAGTTCCTTAAACATTGGTTTTGCGATTCAAAAGTTAATGGGATACACAGACAGCATGAATGTAGCATAAGCCTACTTTAATTTTTTTCAAATTAAGGGAAGTAGGCTGAAGTACAGACGGTTTTTAGTCCTCAAGCGAACTATACTGACCGAGCGACCTCCGTTTTTGTCGGCGAAGTTAGTGCCAATTTTTGCGGATAGAGGGTATCGTGTGGTGGGCTCAACGAATCCTCACGGCCGTTCATCTCGGGCTTCTAGACCGTAGCCGTTACTTTTACACTCAAATAGCTCCTCAGTTATCTTCACGAGGTTGAATGGAGCCCTTTGTAGACCCACTACTCAGAAAATCTGGTAGCGCCGGGAATGGTACCCGGGATCTCTGGATCCGTAGCCAGGAACTCTGACCACTAGACCACGGAGGCGGCAAGTAGGCTCATAAGTCCCATCAGTCTGTATGTCTACATTGCTAGGCAACGGTTCGGTAAATAAATTCTTGCGGCAACGAATGCAGGCAACAGTGGAAGTTCTGCTGGACGCGTGTCTGTGTATCCTATTGTTGCTAGGTAACAACTCAAATACGTTTCCGCGGCAACGAAGAATTATTGGAGGTGTTATTTTCTATGCGATACAGATATCGAAGGAAGGTATGCTGTTCTTCCCATAACGTCTTGTTTTTTATACAGGCTCATACCGTTAAGTAAAGGATTGTTA